TAACGGGGACCCCCGTGACACGCGCTGCCGGTGGCGGGGGGCTGCCCCGGTGTCCCGGTCCCCCGGTGTCCGACCGCGGCGGGAAGTTGGTTTGACTCGAGAAGGGGAATCCCTGGTTTTCTACATCCTCGGGGCGCTGCAGGTTCACGGAAGAAGAAAACAGCAAAGGCGGAAAGAAAAGGAAAAAAAAAAAACCCAGAACGTCCCCGGAGGGAGGCTGGGCCGGGAGCACCGGAGGCAGCGTTCCCGACCCCGCTCTGCCGGCCTCATCCCTCGCCGCCCCGGGACTGTTAGGCGTTAGCACCCCGAGGGGTGGCTGTCCCCATCCCTGTCCCCCCGCCGCCCACGCTGGTGAGCATAACAAAACCGTGAACATTAAATAAAATGTCCTCCGCCCTGTACTTCCTGCCGTCTTTTCCTGGAAGCGAACTGCGGACTCTGCCATCGGCGCACTCCGTGCAGCCTCCGGGATTGTTTTCCTTCAAGGTCACAATTATTTTCACCAAAACCAACATTTTTTATTTTATTTTTTTTTCATCAGAAGGCATCATTTTGCTGCATCCAGGCACTGACTTTGCAAGTTACTTGTAACTTTTGTGGCAGCAAGGAGATGCACCCTGTCCTGAAACGATGCAGTAACACGATTAAGGTGCTGTTCTGCGATTTCTTTTTCTGCCTGGTGGCTGTTGAGAGGTCCCCGGTGTTCAGCAACTGCAAATCAGATGGCACAGCAGGGTAGGAAAGATCAACATCAGCCAGGTAAAGACAGGCTTAGATGAATTGTGCACCGTTTCCTGCGCTTTACTGAGACAACCGCAACGGAAACTGCAGCCCTGCATGTCCTGGAGGGTTGCGCCTCATCCGTGTCTAGGGTCTGCCCTGCTCCCACGAGGAATTCACCAGTCCGCCCAAGGCAGCCTGTGTCAGCGCAGTTATCACTGCTCTTTCCAGCAGTGGGCACCTTTTCCTTTCCGAGCGCAGCCCCGCAGTCCCCATCTAAACTTCTGCCTGATTTTCAGGCTGTTCTTTGGCACAGAATACAGATGATCTCCTGGGTGATGCAAAAAAAAAAACCCCGCAGGGATCCAGGGAGTTAATTTCCATGTGAAACTTCTGGATTGGAGATGACCTGAAATGCTCCAGTGGGATGGTTGTCCACGATGAACTTTCCCTCCATTCTGAGGTCAATCCTTGCTCGCTGCTGCTGTCACTAAAATCAGCTGAGAAGGTTCTGCTTTGGATTCCTGGAATTGAATTGCCCGGGACTGGTGGCAGGGTTTTGGCAGCGGTGTTCTGCCCCTTGACAGATTGCCAGGGCTGAAGCCTGCAAGACGCAGTGACAGAGAGGGTGATTTTGGGTTCTGTTTCCAGTCCCGCCTGGGCTCCTGGCAGTTTGGATACTGCTTTGAGCGACTCACCCACTGCAGATTTATGGTGTGTGACTTGCAGTGTCACAACGCGCTGCAAAGTTTTCTTTATAGGTAACTCCTGCACAAGCTTTTTGGAATTTGTTGACCCTGCTGTCATGCAACACGTTCATTTACGATACTGAGGATCATCCTGCAGCTTCAGCGTAGCAGTCACGAGTAGCAAGGCTATAATAGCTTCATGACACAGCTTGTGAGGCAGAACTGCGACGACCTGCCCAGCCAGGATCCCTTCCATTTGTGCTCTTCCATGGGAGCTGTTTTTTTTCGCTCTTCCCTTGGAGGCAGAAAGCTGAAGGATACTGCATGAGGAGCTCAAGTCATTGCGTTGGACTCGAATGCAGAAGACCTGGGGGGGCTGTGGAGTTTGCTTTTCACCAGCATGAGTGTGTCTTGTGTGTCTCACCATGGTCAGCCAGTGAAGTTGGGGTGCGTTAGGGCTGGGACTGCACGAGTCTTGGAGCTCCTAGCATGACAGATTGTAAGCTGCTATTTTTGTCTTGTTCTACTGCTGGAGCATTTCACTGATGCAGCGAAACCTCTGTTCTTCTCAAGCAGCGTGCTAGTCTCTAGATTTCAGAAGAGCTGGTGCACCCCCACATTAACTCCATGTGGTGGGGATGTGCCTGGAGTGTCAAATCACATGAAAAACATGATGTGAGGCTGCGTGTGGGGACAGCCGGCATTCCAGCAAGGTCTTCGAGCACGGGATCCCACGGGATCTCATAGAATCATAGAATGTTTTGGGTTGGAAGGGACCCCTAGAGGTCATCTAGTCCAACCCCCCTGCAGTGAGCAGCAAGGCACCGCTGCCTCTCGCATGTGGCAGATCTGTAGGGCAGTCAGCGGGTCTGGCTCGTGGGGTCCCACGCTGGCAGCCTCAGAACACCAGGCACCGTGGCTCGATGAGCGAGTGGTCAGATGAGCGAGTCTTACGCGTGTCTGCTAAAGGGGATCTGCAAGCTGCCATGGATGTCGAGAGCAGCCTGGCCGCAGCGGCAGGGGCTCCGGTGTGGACAAACCTTGGTGTGTGCGTAGGGGGGTTGGGACCTCTCAGCTATGCCGTTGCCAAGCCGTGCCTCTTCATAGCCTTCATGGACGCAACTGTGCTGGCAGCACCTGAAGGTGACGTAATCCCCTTACTCTTTCCTCTTGTAGACTTCCACAATGGATGAGACCTCAGACGAGCCTCCCACTTCTGCCGTCCTCTTAGACAACTGCCACTTCTCCCAGGTCGTCTTTAACAATGTGGAGAAGTTTTATGTCCCCGGAGGAGACATAACCTGTTATTACACCCTCACACAGAACATCGTTCCTCGCGGGAAGGACTGGGTGGGCATCTTCCGCGTAAGTGAATGCTGTGGAACCAGATGTTCCAAGTACAAGAGGGCAGCAGCAGGCAGAAACAAATAGCTTGGGTTTTGATAGAACGGGGTTGGGGAATTTTTTTCAGTAATAACCTTGTGTAATGGAGCATCGTCATTGTGCGTAGGGACAAAGCGCCAGACCTGCTGTGACCTGAACAGCTCCAAAGCTAGCCAAACACGCTGATTATCCCTTCGTGCCTAGACCACAACTCTTAGAAGTCAGGATATCAATGCAAAAGTCCTCCCGGTAACTGGTCTGGGAAATACAGTCCCATTACCAGAGGATAAACGTGAACCGTGTGATGCCGTATAACAATTCTGCTCTTGCAGGTGGGATGGAAAACAACGCGGGAATATTACACGTTCATGTGGGCTCCTCTGCCCGGTGACGTGCGCAGGGATAACGCCGGGCAGCAACAGATCCAGTTCAAAGGTGAGTTGGGAGCTGGGATCACACGGGGAGGGGGGGGTCAGGTATGTGCACGTGCACGCACGCGCAGGCAGGCTCCCTCTCTGCTGCCACCAACGCGCACTACGGTCGGGACTGCAGCGTATCCGTGGGGCCGTGCTTTGGGAGACTTGGTTCAAATCCCATAATGAATCACAAAATTTCGAACCTGCTAAATTCTGCCACCCTGCCTGAGTGATGTTGTTTGTGCTCGTATCACTGCCACAAAGAATTACTGATGGTGCGGGAACAACATTGAACGGGGGTGTCTTGGCTTTCTGAGGTCCTCACTTTCTGCGCTATATAGTTAAGAGACTGGAATAAGTAGGAGCTGTGTATGACGGGGTGGTTGTGCTTGTCTGAAGCTTACTACCTGCCGAAAGATGATGAATACTACCAGTTCTGCTACGTCGACCAGGATGGCGTGGTCCGGGGAGCCAGCGTGCCTTTCCAGTTCAGAGCAGAGACTGAGGATGATATCCTGGTGGTCACCACACAGGTAGGTGTCCTCTCCTCCCCTGCCTTTGCCTGTCTCGGCTTTTATTGGCATGTGCTCACTGCTAACATGGAGTGATCCGGTAAATCGGATGCTGAGCTAGAACCCAGCACACTTGGATTCTGTTCTTGCCTTTGCTACTGATCTGTCACACAAGTTTGGGCAGCCTTTGTTTCTCTACCTGCCATTGATCAGACCAGTTTACTTAGATTGTGAGCTCTTTGTTTTGGGGGTCACTTAATACTTCGTGTTTCAGCACCTTTTGAATATTTTTGAATGAAAATGTTGTTTTCATGGAACTGGTCTCCCAGTTCCATGAAAAAGAGAAAGAGCGTGCACATGGACAATAACTGAGGTGCTGTGAAGCACTAATGACTCCACTGCGCACGTGGTCCTAATCTAACAAACTGCAGCAAGCCCCAAACCTCTGCCTCTGCTGAGTTCTGCGGGCACAGAAGGCATTGAGCATCTCCAGAGATGAGGGGGTAGCCTGTGCACAGTATTCGGGAACGGGGTTGATGGTCGGCCTTGGACAGACTGGGGAGGGTGAAGCAGCAGTCGGGTCTGTGCTCATAGTGAAGGCACAGGGAGGTACGCGGTGCTCCCTTTTGCAGAGCTCGTCTGTCTTTGCTCTTCGTACGGTGCTATTGGGAATGCAGCTTTTCAGCACTTCCATTACGACCTAACAACTTTTGTTGCTTGCTAGGGAGAAGTGGAAGAGATTGAACTACAAAACAGAAATCTGCGTAAAGAAAACGAGGAGCTGAAAGCGAGCTGTGCAAGCCTCCAGCAACAAAACATCGATCTGCAGGAAGAGCTCACCAAGGCACAGGTAAACAAAAAAGTGAATGTAATAAGTCAGGAGCTTGAAGTTCAAAAGTTTAAGAGGGACTGAGTCAGGTCTCGTTCCACGGTATGCTTCTGGGGGAAAATTAGAGAGGTTTCTCCCCATATAACCTGCTTAATCCCTTACCACATCACACACCACCTCTACGGTGATAAGAACAATAATGATGAACAAGAGGCATCAGCAGGCACAGAAGTCAGGAACATATGGGAAGGGGAGTGTTCAAAAATGTTCTGTGGGCTCTCCCAAAATTGCATTATCATTATCTTTTCCTCCTTCAATTTTGCTCAGGCCTTAATATAAATCAAATGGGGTCTGAAAGAGCAGTCAGGATGCAAAGGAGAGAGTTCCCTCCTTCAGACAGGCTGCTGGGAAATGTTGCGTTTGAGGGGCTTTGCAGTTCCAGTGCAGAGTTTGGGTCCTATTGCTTGGGTCCCATTTACCTCCTATCGACCTCACTGTGACTTTCAGGAGCTGCAGAATAGTTTAGAGTCTCTAAGGAGCAACACAGAGAAACTGGAGCTGGAGCTGAATTCCCTAAAGAAGGAAAATAAACATCTGAAGGAGCTGGATGACTGCAGAGAGGCAGAACTGCACCGGTAAGTGTATTTACAGCATATCTCAAAATAGGATTTCACGTAAGCACCTTGCCTTTCCAGATTAAATTTCCACCCGTGAAAGTGTGGTGTGTTTTGATTTGTTCTGAGCAGGCTCAAGGAGCAAATTCAGAATGTGACCTCTGACAAGGAACACCTGGAAGCCAGACTGAAAACAGCCCTGGATCACATGGACCAGCTGCAGGTTGCAAACATACCGCTGCTCTCCTTTGCTTTGCTTTGCCTCTGTTTTGAAAAACATTCTAAAATTATGTTCAGTACTTGGGTGAAAGCAAGCCTTCTAGCTGAGAGGTATGTGGAGGGAGAGGGGAGATGGAAAATAGCTTGGATATTAGGTCTGGGACGTGGGAGACCCGGAACGATGGGCTAAGCATCGGGCTAAGGAGTCGCTGGGTTTCTTCACTGACTTCCCAGGCTACAAGTGTCATGTTGAAAGTTATAAAGCTCCTCAGAGAACGTATGAATGAACACTGTGTTCTGAATGTGTCAGCTCCAGTATATCCCCGTGTAATTATTCTCAGTTTCTACAAAGGTTTTAGTGGAAAAATATTCGCGGAAAAAAAAGTTAAGCAGCCAGAGGTTCTGGAGCTTTGCCTTCTGCAGCAAAAGCTGCCTGTGCTCCTCACTCGGAGCTGTTTGATTCTTACTTTCTGCGCACCCTTCTTTCTCCCTAGTCTCAGGTGTTGAATTATAGGAGAGAAGTGGAAAGCCTCTCTCGTATGGACCTCGACAAGACAGAGCAGCTTGAAAGGTTAAAGGAAGAGAATCACCAGTTACGCGTGGCTGGAACTCAACAGGTAAAGCCTTCCCTGAGTGTCATGGGGCTGGGGGAGCCAGGGCGGAGAGGCTGAGGCATCCTTGGCAGTGAGCAGGTACGAAGATGGCTCAATCTTAGGAGAATCTGTTGCCCAGAGAGGGGGTGGAGGCCCCATCCCTGGGAACATTCCAGGCCAGGTTGGACGGGGCTGTGAGCAACCTGATGTGGTTCAAGGTGTCCCTGCTCCTGCAGGGGGGTTGGGCTGGGTGACCTCTGGGGGTCCCTTCCAACCCAAACCATTCTGTGATTCTATGATTTCATGATGGAAAGAGAAGTGTCTGTGGTGGCGTGGGTGTGCACATAGGTGGTTCTGTGGGCATACCACCTGACGGATTCTTAGAGTATACCTGCATTCTTATGGTATACACACGTGGGTTAGTTTTGGAAGAAAGGCCTGGATAACTAGACATTGCCACACTGATTCTCTGTAGCAGGAGAATTCAGCCTCTGTCTCCATCTCTCTTGAGTCAGCTCAAGGGATAAAGGAAATCAGCGGGAATTCAGCATTGATATTTGGCTGATTGCAAATTGTTGCATCTAAGCAAAACTGTTTCAGGACTGGGACTTATGAGTAAATAAAACAAGTTCCCCTACGTCTGCCCAGACCGCATGCTGTTAATTTTACCTCCAACAGGAAGCTGGCCAGTAATTGGTGTGAGGCAGCAACCTTGCTGCTCTTCTCTTTGTTGATCTTTTTGTCTCTTTCTTGTCTTTAATATCTCAAATTTAGCATTTAATAATCAATAACATAGATGCAATATGCTCCGAATGCACCAAAAATAAGCTGTAAACAAGACAAAATTTCTGTTCTGTAGTTTGGTGTTCTGCCCCACATCCTTCTCTAACGCCCCCTTTGCAACTCTGCTCCTGAAAATCTGGGATTTTGGTACAGAAGGAGCAAAATACGGAGCTTGAACATTGCCTGGCATACTGGAAGGGGATGGAGGCCAAACTCTCACTTTGCCTGTCCCACTGCCTGCAGAATGTGCAGGTGCCCAGCATTTCTGGGAGTGCAGCTTGGGGGGGTGGTCCCAGAAGCGCTGAGCACAGAGCTCTGCTCTGTTACGTGGAGCCGGCTGGTGCCTGGGCAGGGGAGCTGAGCGTCGCTGACAGCCATGTTCTCCACCTTCTTTCAGTTTGCAGAACCATCGCAGCTTCCCTGCGGTGTTGCAGATAACGATACGCATAACAAATTTGAGTTCATGGGCGAAAGGCTTGCTTTTCTGCAGTAACTTCTGCTGACCTTTTAGAAGTAATCCCCAAACCTCAGCACGGGAAATCAGCCCTTGAAGGAATGTGAAGGGTATAAAAGAAAAGGGCAGCGTGCTGTGACATTTCTTTCTCCGGAAGACACCATCATTGGCAATGACGGAGGCCGTTACATCATCGTTAGCCCGTTGCCCTGAGCGACCTTCTAAGGGTGCTTCGCTCTCTGGATGTGCTGCTTGGGAAGCTCTCGGAGGCCTTACTCTGACTTTGGCATCGAAAATTAGATGCCTGAAATAGATGATGTGATTGCCTCCGCTGTGATGCCAAATGTTCAGGATTCTTAGTGATACTTTGTGAAGGACTGCAGAATCCCCAAGTCCTCTAGCTTATCTAATTTACTGATTTAATTTGAGAGTCAGCTACAAGATTAATTCCCCAGGACGTGCTGGCTCTCCACCGTCAACACAAGCCTTGCAGCACCAGGAAACCTGGCAGACTTGGGTAGCTCACGCCTGCCCGGGGGGATTTTTCAGCTGTATGAGTTCCTTCTCTTTGTCTGACCTGTCATATGTACCCTTCAGGGGTCATGTGTCATTTTGCGTGCTGTAATGAAAATACAGAGCGGGAGTGGTGACGTGGAGATATCCTAGGTGACAAACTATGAAGTGGTAAGCCTCCCGCTGAAAGCAAAGGTTTATTTGTTGGTAATAAATGCAGCAGGAGGCAGCTGGTACATGGCAGCTCCAGCACTTGGGGCTGGCATCGGTTTATTTGCAAGTTTCCCACGATTTCCCGTGTAACCCTCTTCCTTCACAGCAACAAAACTGCGACTTAATGAAAGAACTCGAGGAGCAGAAGCGTTTGTTTCAGATTCTGCAGGCAGAAAAGAATGACGTTGATGAGGAAAATCAGGTGAGAACTTGGCACAACTCCCTCGCCCTTCTCCTGTATCGAACACGACGCCAATCCCTCCGTCTAGTGTTCAGTTCCATTAACCCTTCTACCAAACGGATCGCTAATTGTGCCTGCACGCGGACCGTCTCCCAAAGCCGGGCTGCCAGGCCATCTGCGGGCACGTACAAACGACCGCGTGCGTACGCTCAGTGTGGTGTTGCTGCCACGACTGCACAGCCTGAGAGGAAGGGTCCAAAACCCTGCACCTTTCCCCCACCACAGAATAGGCTGGTTTACCTGTCATAGCGAGGGGATTCTCAAAACCTCACGTTAGCTCAATTCTGACACTGCTGAAATGAATGGACTTTCCTGTTTAAATGGACATGGCCTTTTTATCCAGTCTCAGCAATGACTGCTCGGTTTTGTTCCTTTGTCTGCATGATTTCAGGATAGTCTTCTGTCTTTTACAGTGTATTACTCTGTTGCGACCATTTCGTCTGCCTTTCTGGGCAGGCTGCAGAATGATCCTTGCCCTTCCTTCCCTCACTCTCCCAATCAGTCAAGCAGGACTTAACACTGAGCCACCTGAAAGAAGTTCAGAGCAATTTTGATTCTGATAGAAGAGGCTCTATGTTAGTGCAAAGCACGGCTTTGCTCTGAAATGGTCTCCTGAGCTCCTGGAAACTCATTCTGCCCTTCTGTCCCTTTGCAGAAACTAAGGGAGGAGAACGATGGACTCCTGCGGCGTCTCTCGCAGACTAGAGAGGCTTCTTCCTTCTCCGTTGTTCCACAAGCTCGAGCTCCAGTTGTGGCTCCTGAAGTAGGAGGCCTTCTGTTTGGAAATCCGTACTGCGGTGAGATTACTTGGCATTCTGTCTGAAACCGCAAATGCGTGGCAGTTAGAGTCTCGGCAAATTACCCTCCCTCCCGAATGGAATGCTGGAGAGAGTGCGTTATTAGCAGCACCTCTGTGCAGCTTTGCATGTGTGCAGATGACTCGGCAGCTGCAAAATGCTCCCAGGTGTTAAGAGTTGACTTAAGTGATCAGCTGTCTGTTCATTTTCTGCCAAGAGAGACAACTATTAGCTGGTTTATTCAGCTGTGAGACAGCTCGTTCTGTGGCTTATGTCCAGTTTCCATAGGCCTAAATATAGACGTTTAGATCCAGAGCCACATCCTCATGTTTCAAGAATTACTGGTTATCAGCACATTGCATCGTTAAATCATTTTGCTGTGGCTAAAATGACTTCTCCTTCCAGTTGCAGGAGCAAACCTGGGGGCAGGAGCTGCAGACGTAGTAAGTAAAGTGGACGCGGCCGGGCATGAATTAGTGGCTTATGGACACATATTAGTGGTTTGAAATAAAAAGCTCCAAGTTCAGCTCTGTAGCCCATTGTCGACGTACTGGTCTAGTCCTGGTAAGATAGCGGACGACAAAATGGAGCCACGTATGCTTAATGTGTAGAATTAATTACAGTCGCTGGTGTTAAGGAAGAGAAAGGAAACTCTGTTGACCTTAATCTTTAAGGACCTTAATGCTCTTGGCAGCACCTAATGCCAGAGCGAGCAGCATGAAGCTGCTAAATACCTTATTTCATACTGGAGACATGGACATGTGCTACGCAGGATGGAAAGTTTGGGTACTTCTCAGAAGCTCTTGACTTCTAAGTGCTATTAGAGAAGCCTGGAGACATTTGAAAACTTGAGAGTATTAGAAGTCAGAAAGACCCCTGTCCAGAAGTGATAATGTCTGACTATGAAGCTTTTCTGTTTCTTCTCTTTGAATATGATTTTTAAACTGGCTTTATCTGCCTTTGCTTTGTACTTCAGGCTTCTTTAAGGAAATGCCCCATGTGCGATGACGTATTCCCTGAAGACAGTGAAATGAGTCAGTATGAGGCGCACGTGCAGAGCCATCTTCTGGAATGCCCGCTCTGCAGCGAGACCTTTGACAAGTCCAACAAGCAGGTGTTTGATGACCATATGTTTTGTCACGACCTGGAATAATTCTGAATTCGTGTCTGCTCTGTAGAATAGGTGGCAGAGGCCGCAGTATAGAATAGACAAAAATCACTGCACTGGCTTGGTTTGTGCTACTAAGATCACCCAGACAAGACTGACCATGCCACTAGGACTGTAATTCTGAGCCTGCTGTTCCATGCAGCACACGACCAGCACAGAAATCAGGGCAGACATCCGTGTCCTGAAGCTGAACCACCGTCAGCAAACTTGAGTCCTCTGTCTTGCATCAAGTACATACGCTTGTTAGAGTTACGAATCCTATCATTAGTAATTTAGTTGGCATGTGGTACCAGTTCTTTAGAACAGGATTGGCTGTGTAACTGTTCATCCAGGTAGGGATCCAAGCGATGCGATGCAGTACAGCAGTTTCCTATACTGGGCTGATCTCTATTATAATGGGTTTATTCTTTAATATGGTACTGTCATTGCTAACCAAAGACCAGAAACATTTTATAATCTTTTAGGATCGCACTATCACTCCTGCTCAGCTTCTGGAATGCAGAATTAATTATTAAGTAAAAAAGTCTAAATAAAAATGCATCTCGTCTCTCACCATCGGTGGTAAAGCAAGCAAGACATGCTTAGAAAGAGACCAGGTATCTGTTTGCAGATCTGAAGGTCTAGGGCCGTCCTTCCAGCAAAGCAGGCAGCGCGGCTTGTTCTAGGGTGAGGCACGGGCGCCGTTTTCTCCATCCATCTCATGATGAGGAAAACCTGAAATTTCAGACACGGGGACGGTCAGGATGGTGTGGAGCCCGTAGAAGAGCAGTAGCTGAGTTGTCTTGGCAGCACAGAGGATCAGTGGTCTCTCAGTCAGGAACCAGGCATCCTCATTTAAAGGAAACGATGCATTTGGATTATTTCTCTTCTTTGTTTCTGAACCTTCTTGAGTTAACAAGAGCAGCCTGTTCTCCAACCAAAAACATTGTGATTCAAAACTAAGTGCCTTGGGATGTTAAAATGCTTTGTGCACAGATTATCCAGTTACTATTTTTATTTCTGCTTCAGGATTTTCAACTTAAGATTAACAGCTCTCTCGTTCTGTGCAAGC